TTTGGGGGCTCGTCTGGGATTCGAACCTGGGACCTCTTGGATGGAAATCTAAGCTGATCCACACTGTTTTTTATCATTAGCATACTGATGTTAGCATTAACTCAAAGCACTGCTGGCCCTTTAAGTTCAGATAACGACATGTCGACTGTAGGCAAAAGTGTAATGGCTGTTCTGACAGGCAGCTCTGGCTGCTGTCATAGAGATAATGGATAACTGTTTAAATTTGTTTGTTCTTATTCTTCCGTCTCACAGGCATTGTGTTGTACTCGGTTTTACACCTGAAAAGTAATTGATTAAATTCATGAAAATGAAAATGAAAATGAGCTTGAGACAGAATTTTAAAGCATGCTAATGTGCTGACCTCACGCAATTTTGTGCTTGTTGGTTTCAGAAAAATTATAGAAAATTGCTTGACACAGTTCAGTTCTGAAAGTTTGTGTATTTCCACACTGCACATTTTTGTCGTTACACTCGTAATCCACAGTCGCAGAAGTTTTCATGTTTTTCTTCCTGTTTTGTTTTTCCAGAGGCATCCAGCAGCAGTTGTCCAGCTACAGGGAGACAGTGATCCGGCAGGCCTCGGCGGCGGCGGGCTCGACGGTTCACCGGGACGACGCGCCAACCTGCGGCATCTGCCACAAGACCAAGTTTGCAGATGGCTGCGGGAACCTGTGCTCGTACTGCCAGACCAAGTTCTGCGCCCGCTGTGGGGGGCGAGTATCCCTGCGATCCAACACGGTAAGACAACTTTCTCTCTTGGCTGTTTTCTCTCGTTCATGTTCATACTGTGAAAACATCTGTGATAATTGAGGGCCATATTTTTAGAATTCATAATTTTTGTCAGAAACAACATACAGTAATTTAATGATGACCTAATAATTAAATGTGTGATTTTGAGTCAAACTTCACTGATACTAAAGGGGTAGACAAAACACCTCTCAATGCAACAGCAAACTACCGCCTCTAAAATTACAATAAAGTTGAATCAAAACCTCTATAAACATTTTCATCAAGAACTGAACATTATAACCTTCATGAAGGTAAGATTTACTGTAGGGCTGACACACTGTAACTGAGCATTAGTGTAACTAATAAACTGGCAACTGAGTACAGTGAAGTTTTTTCTCATTTAGGCTTTGTAGCAAAATTAATAGAAAATGATGTTACATTGAAAAAAGAATATTATTATATTTTAACAAATGATTGTATATACATGTGAGTTACAGAGAAAGCCCACATTAAGTGTCTTAGTAAGGGCTCGGGCGAGAATGAGCCATTCTTAAAAGATAACTTTATCTCCACTCATTGAGTATTGTAAAGTATGGAGGACAAAAGTGACTTATTTATCAATAAATAAATACATATATGAGTGTTGTAATTAATACATAGAATAATAAATATGTGATCAAAACTGAACAGAATACAAATTTAAATTATTTTGTTGTTTTTCTTAATTTATTTATTGATGTTTTGTTTCTTATTCATTTATTGTCTGTTAGGTAAAGTAGGTGGTACTAACCTTCCTTTAAGCACAATTTGTCAAAGTAACACGATCACACCCTTCTGACCAATCAGGCTTTACATTCAGGGTAGTGCCGCCCCCCTCATTAACATACAGACACTGAAATACAGAAATAAATTAATACATAAATTTAGAAATAATGAAATAAATACAGGATAATGACAATACAATACAATGCAATATAATAAACCTTATATTTTCTGCTTGTATAGTAATTTTGGTTTCATTAAACAAACACATATCATTATATTTTTTCATCTGTCAGCATAAATGAATTTATTCTCATTTAACAGTTGTACCAAGTGGTGTTAAAACCTCTGTACACACACTGATGAATTAGTCTTATTGGAAAGGTTAGGTGTTGAGGGCTGTTTCTTATATCTATTACAAAAACTATTTCTAGAGGAAGCACAAGTTCATTTCCATCATAGAACCCAGATCTGCACTCAGATCTGCATTACGCCGAAACACAAACACCCTTATAGCATGCAGCTGTTCACAAAAGCATAGGCATTGCACTGTATGTCTGATCAGGCCTCAGGTGTTGGACCTCAGGTGTAAGTGATGAGCCATGGCACACATGTGTGTGTGGTTATGTGTCTATATAGTATGCTCTATATGTGAACTGTATATTAGGTATATATGTGTGTAAGTGTGTGTTAAAGCGTCCACACATGTGTGTGGATGTGAGCTATGCCCTTGTATGTGTGTGTGTGTGTGTGTGTGTGTGTGTGTGTGTGTGTGTGTGTGTGTGACCCACGCAGGAGCTGGTAAAGGTTAATTGGGCATTAGACTGAGCTGTCGACAGAGGGGGTGGTCTCCCTCTCTGTCGCGGTCTCCCAGGGGTCCGGAGGTGCCCTATACACACGCAGCAGGGTGTAGGTGTGTGTGTGTGTGTGTGTGTGTGTGTGTGTGTGTGTGTGTGTGTGTTTGTGTGTTAGTTTGGGGAGGCGAGTCTTCCTCTGAAATAAGTGACGTCCCATCTCCCACCCCTTGCGCTCCCCTACATCACCGGTGTGGCATTTAATGACCTCACAAACGCACACACACACACACACACACACACACACACACATAGACTCAAAAGTACATCCTAATTAGTTAGTGGCTGACATGGGGAGAGTTCAGCTGGAGGGTCCTGTGTGGTGTGTCAGGGTGGGCGGCACCTGCATTGAGAGGGAGAAGGTCTTTGAAAGGTGGATTTTACACACATAGAAGAGACATTTTGAACTTTTTTATTTTTTGTATTAAAGGATCATTAGTATGATACTGGATATTGATTAACAGAAGCCATATGGAAAATAATCTGACATAGTCTTTAGTGGAAACATGACAGGATTGGCTGTTGTCCAGGAGATCCTTCATTGCTCAAGTTGCTCAAATATGCTCATTTGCTTTCTTTTGAAAGTTAGATGAGATGATTGACACTAGTGTCGTGTTTCCACAGTATGTAAGGATGGAGCTGGAGCGAAGAGATGTTGTTAGTTGTTTCGTCTGTACACAAAAAGAAATGGAAAAACGACAATTTGTGGCTGTAGGGGTTGGTCGTGTTGTGGTTGTAATTTTCTGCTGTTGCTATCTATAGGCTAACAGCAGCCAGGTGAAGTGATTTGAAGTGGTTACTTTTGTTCAGCAAGAAATAGTTTGAACATTTCTGTTTGTGTATATGATGTGTAGTGAGCTTTGGAAGAGCTGGTAGGCGTATTTCTGAACTTTGGATCAGGAGCTGGCTTCCAGTCGCTGTGCTAAACCAGGCTATGTGCCACCAAGCTCCAGCTCCGCTCGTCATTTTTACCCCTGTTTCTGTACATGTTAAACAGATGAAATATGTATTAATCAGTGAGCTTTTGAGTATTTTGAACTTTACAGAATGGTTACCTGCTTACTCCTGCTCTTTTTACTATAACCTAGACTAGTCACCACCCAGCGCAGGCTCTGTACGTAAAACATGACATGAGAGTAGCATCAATCGTCTCATCTAACTCTTTGAAAGAAAGTTCTGTCAATAATGGTTGTCCTCTCTCAGTAGCAAAGGGGGGACATTGTCCTGTCCTCGCTAAGTGTTGTCCCCATGAACGTATACTCATCTATACAGACAGCTAAACACTCTCCTTAATCAAGCTCCAAGGAACATTTGGCAGTTTAATCAGGAATACGTGTGAAACTATAAACAAAGGACAGGAATATACAGTTATGATTAGTTAAAGAGCAAACCAAACGTACATAGAGAAATATTAAACTACATTAGATGTAAAAAAAAATAAATCTTTAAATACAAAGCAAGACCTTTTTCTTACACGTTAAGATAACATGTACTATCTAATTCCACTGTACCAACTAAAAAATAAGGATGCACATATGTGACTTTTATGTCAACTTTATTCTTATTATACCAGAACAAAAAGTCTGGATTGTTCAGCGCAGGGTTGGTCAATCTGGCCCAAAGATCATATTACAATCTTTTTAGGTGGAATCATGATCCACGATCTAAATCTCATATCTCCTTACAGATTTAGTTGAATTTGTGATCACATGACTCGTTATGCACATCTTTACCTGGACACAAAGCCTGTCACTTCAGCTCAGTGGCTCAGCTCACATTGGCTCCACTCAGGTGGAGAACCAGTATATGTGGTGCTACGCCAAGCTTGCCGAGCCTGCATTGTAGAACAAGGACTGCCATCACCAGCTGCAGTTAGCCGGCTAGCTTTCCCGCTGTTAACAATAGTCTGGTTAGCAGCGACTGAACTTTTAGAATTAAATATCTAAATATAGCACCCTAAAATGACGCGATCTGTACGATTCATCCGGTTGTCCACGGCATAAGATCGCCAGATCGCTCACCCCTAGTTCTGAGTGCAAAGCATTCGTCACCGTGATTTACATTCTTTCTCCTGCCAACAGTTAACATTGCTCTCTATTAACCATGAACCTTAAGCAAATACTTTCACATGAAAGTCATAAACTGACATACATTTTATTTTTTTACTTAGATATACAGACCTGTAGGAGCATTTCAACTTAAATCTGACATTTATTTATTTATCATTCATTTCTATTCATATACTGCAATGTTATTCTGAAATATACATATATACATCTACATATAATATATGTGTATTACAGTGTGAATTACTGGTAGGGCTTTAGGATCATTGCCATGCTTTCAGATATCATCTTTGCTCAAATTCTCTCTGTCTTTCTTTTCATTATACATGGATGGCTGACTGGGCTGCAGCAGGACAAAGTGGTGAGTGCTGTGCTTCCTTTTTCTTTTCTGAACCACATAATTCTGCCTGCAACCTTTAAGACAATCCAGCTTAATGGGTTCAGACAGTATGTATGTACGTATGTATGGGTGAATGTACCTGCACCATGTATCATGTATGTATCAGCCTGTCTGTCTGCCCATGTGTCTGTTGCTATTACTGTAAGTGGTATGAGTTTAAGTATAGTTTTAAAGGTCCATATAGTATAAAGGTAGATGTCCATGTCTTCTTTGATTTTAAAGCAGGTCTAGGTTCTATATTAATACTGTGAAAGTATCAAAGCGCTCAGTCCACAGAGAAATACACACAGCCTGTATTCAGAAACTGAGCTTTAAAACAAGCCATCGGGACTTCTGTAACATTGTGATGTCACAGCAGTCACCACCCTCAGCCATGCCTCAAGCCCCGTCCACCTGGACCCACCATCCAACCTTGCAGGATTTTGGTTTCTTTGAGTGTTCACCTGAAATCTGGTATGTCTGTATTGGATCACTCAGAAAACAGCCAATCAGAAGAGAGACTCAGAGCCAAACTACACTGATATGGTTTTTGGTTCTTAAAACCATGGATCAAAACTCCAAAATAAAACACAGGAAAAGTTTAAAATATTGGACCTTTAATGATACTTATGTTGAGAAATGCCACATGACCTCTATCTATCGTTTAATAAGATACTAAACTACATCATCTCACCACTAGATTAAAACAGTCTGTGCTGACTGATATTTGTGTAGCTTCACACTGCAAGGAAACAACCTGGATCTGAGAGGGAGAGCGTGTAGACAGAGCAGAACATTTTTAGATTTTGCAAGTGAAAACCCACCATGTGGGAGGAACTGGCAACAAGCCGGCGTGAACATGGAGAGAATGTACACCTCATATAGACAAACATGCTCATCTTACTGGGAACATGTAAGACACTTAATTAACGTAGTACACAGAGTGGGGCGGCTGTCAAAATGCCTTTGAGTAAGACACTTAACACCTCACTAAAGGCATCTAAAATGCCAATCTGCCTGTTTAACACTAATCCATACCTGTGAGCTTCTTCTCATAGACACAGCTTGCTCTCAGTGGTACAGTACATGTGAGGTAACTGGAAAAAATTAACGTGTGTGTGTGTGTGCCACTCACTATATTTCATGGTCACCAGATAGCTTAATAGTTTAAAGGATCACTTAATACCACAAGTATTCCGGTTTTAAGTTTTGATCTTATTTGGAATATGGTGTTTACATGGAACTGTAAAAAAACCTGCTCACCCACATCCCTGCGTACATACACGATCACACCAGTATCCACGTCTCTCAGCGCCTATGTTCAGGTGTGTTTACATTTCTCAACGTCTCAGCCGCTCATTTCTGCACCGACAGAGAATGAAATCAGAAACCTGGACTGGATTACTCCAGCTGGCATATCCAGGTCGCTCAAAACTGGGATAAGATTTTCTGCCAACAAGATGTGGAGTTTACATGTGCAACACATAACCAGGATACTCTGTATATATATGCTCTGTCGCTGAGACTTTTTAATTTGAAACAGTCAACAGCAAACATTTGAGAAACAATATCCCTGTCACTCAGGATAAACCACAGACATCTTTTCATGTAAACATTTGAGGTTTGGAAAGATGGATTTTCATCTCATATACCTTCATTTTTTCCACTCTATAAAACACATAATAAAGTGCAACTGTCATTCTTATTTAATAATTTGTGCTTGGTGCCACCACAGCCACAGATATAACCGTCTCTGCCACAGTGTGCACAGTAGTGGACAGGAAGTATCTGCCCTTCCTGGTGTGTTTCTTGTGTTTGTGCACTGGCCTGCACCTTTGCTGTAAGGACGACTTCCTCATCGTCATGTAGCCTGGTTAAACGAGAGTTAAGAAGAATCATCTGATATGATACTTCTGCGGAAGCGTCCCTGGTGGACATGCCTTTAACACCTTCCTCTGCTTGTGTAGTTGTGTCAGGTTTAGTACCTTACTTGGCCTTGGCTGCCTTCCCTCAGGGCAGCTGCCAAACAGGCACTTTGATGATACTTGGCTGGGCTTGAACGCCACGGCCCGTCCAAGAGTGCTTTGGTGTGCTGTACATAGCAGTCTCACTCCCTTGCTAAAGCTTGGTACAACAATCACTGGCTCTAAAGAAGAAAGTTTTGGCAGAATGGAGCCCTTCTGTAGCACTGACTGTATGGCTGGACAGCAGACCGGGCTTGAATTACTGTTTGACATGGATTCATTTAATTACTTGGGGATTGATTAATCTTGCCTGGCACAGTGGTCCAAAAGTGCAAAGTTACTCTGCCGGCTTTTTCCACTCCACTCAAACTAAACACTCAAAGTTAAGTGAAAGTGTTGGCAACAGTAATTCTGGCCTTCAATTATATGTAGTCTATCAGTGTGTTGTATAGTCTACATCACTTTTACTGCTTAAGATTAAGTGCTTTTTAAACCGGATTTTCTTCTTCTGTGAGGTCACATCCTGGTAATATGTAGCACACAGAGGTAAACTATGGTTCAACTTCACCTTTATTTCACCTCCTAGAAGCTACCACAGTTAGGTGTTAGACATTTCAGATGGTGATAAATTTATTTTACTTCATAGTTTGTCCTCATCTTTGTTGTAATGTGGTGATTGCTGTGGTGTTTTTGCACTGAACCTACAAGAAACTTGACAACTTCATACAATGTGTCCAGGAGTGTAGCACTGTGTGTCTTTGTTTCTTTGGTCACTGAATGTAATAAGAGAACTGGATACTGTGTTTAACACGGGGCCCTGTTCATTTTAATACACCAAAAACATTTTTGAACCTATACCGCATTTACATTAGAGCACCTCTCTGGCTGAGCCTGGTCGCTTTTGGCTTCTCTTTGTAGCCGTAGCATCAGCAGAACTGCTAGCATCCTTGCCACTGTGCGTTTAAAAAAACGCTGATATTTTGTCTCGACTTTCAGACGTTTGGCGTGGACGTCCGTCCATCTTTGGTTTTTGGGGGATTGATAACAATTGTTGGAAAGCTGCTACTGCACTTAACCTAACGAGTTGTCAGCCTGTCTCTCTGCACCACTCAGTGTGTGTGGGGAGGGGCTAGGACACACACGTACACACACACACACACACACACACACACAAACGCACAGTGAAACAGAAAAGAGAAGACAAGAGAAATGACCAAAAACAAGAGACTCTTCACACTGACCTAAAGTGAAATGAAATGAGTGCACATACATTGGGTAGATCATTTATATAAATATAAGATATTTTGTTTGTTAAATTAGTTTATTTTTCTCTTCGGTTTCTTGGGGGGCACAGAGGGTTGTCAAGTGGTAGGGGAAACACTTTTTTTTTTTTTTTTTAAAGTATATTTTTTTGGGCTTTTTATGCCCCCTTATTCGATAGCACAGTAGAGAGACAGGAAACGGGGAGGCAGAGAAATAGGGAACAACATGCAGTAAAGGGCCGTCTGATGCGGGATTTGAATCAGGGCCGACCGCAGCGAGGACTGTAGCCTCTATATATGGGGCGCCTGCTCAACCCACTGCGCCACTTGACGCCCCAGGAGAAACACTTGGTCCTTTCTGAAAATGAAATGTGTTTCTGGGGTTTACTCTCCATATTGTACAATAAGGTTAATGAGTCTATACTACAACACTGGGTATAAAAATTAGAGACATTGAGTGTTGATCCAAGATATATTTGTGGTTTTAAGAACCAAAAACCATCTCTCTTCTGATTGGCTGACTGTTTTCTGAGTGATCCAATAAAAATACAGCAGATTTCAGGTAAAAACACTCAGAGAAATTAGTTCAGGTGGGTGGGGCTTGGGGCATGGCTGAGAGAGGTGACTGCTTTTTTGTGACATCACAAAGTTACAGAAGTCCTGACGGCTGGTTTTAAGGCTCAGTTTCTGAATACAGGCTGTGTGCATTTCTCTGTGGACTGAGGCTTTGATACTTTCACAGTATTAATATAGAACCTAGACCTGCTGTATAATCACACAACACATGGACAAATACCTTTATACTATATGAGACCTGTAAGATGAAAAAAAACTATAGCTTCCACTTTTTACCAGCTCAATGGTGCACAAAATACTTTTTATGCATTACATCCATCCATGCGTTCATCCAAAGTCATCTTTACACCGTCTGATTTTAATTTCTATTGTATATAATACATTTTTGACATAAACGTATTTAATACAATAGAAATGCCATCTGGCACTTCCTGTTCTGTTACAGTCATGTCTAAACTAGCAGAGGCTCAATATTGTTGTTCAAAAAAACTCACCATCTTTATGAAAACATACTGCACTGTTCAAGGTGATGCGCTTACACTGGATTTTACTACAAGAATTCCACTTCAAACACCGAGAAATGAAAATTAGAAGCTCTATATCTGCTGTATTTTTTCACTCACACAATCTCGTGTGTGTCTAGTGTGTTCATCGCGCTCTAAATGGATTGTGTTGAGTGCGCTGTCATGCTTTTCAAAGAACATTTGTGAAAGTAGATGGTTAGAGATTGATAAATAAAGTTTTAATAGGCTTAGCGATACACAGTGTGTGGTGCTGGTGTGTTGTGCTAATGATATTCAGGGCTCATTATCTGCAGTGATGGCTGAGCTCTAGTGGAGAGATGAGTGTGTGTTGTACCAACGCCAAGTGTTTCTCACAGAAAGGCCATTTTTGAAGTCTTGATTCCAGCTCTCGTGGGAGACGAGAGAAGAGTGTTGTGTGCTGCTTTCTCTCTCTCGCTCACACACACACTCGCACGCGCACGCACGCACGCACGCACGCACGCACACACACATGCTCACCAACACCTCTCCTCTCTCTAATTGTAAAGTCCAGGGCTGTATTTCTGTGTCTTTTATGTGGCTGTAACTCAGACTGCTCGGCACATGGTAGATTGCTGTTTTTAGACCAATTCTGATTCAGAATTACTGGCATGGCTGCTTCCACCGGTGTTTTCAGC